ATGACTTCTTAAAAGAGTACTCATTTACTTGTTAAACAAAATTTGTGACCAACATCTTTAAGTTATTAACTTAGGATAGTTTTTGAATTTTTTAAGAATAAGAAACTTAAAATTATGATGACACACCTGGCAACGACGTGTGACGACTTCTAAAGAAAAGACTCATTCTCTTTTTAAACAAAGATTGTGAATCACATACATAAAAAAAATTAGCCTACAATGTTAGATTATCATTTATCATGTTATAATAGTTTTTTGATTTTCTTAAATAAGGAAAATCAAAGACAGAAGTGATATTACATGCGACGACTTCCAATTTCTTTTTCTAAACAAAGTTATGAATGACATACTCAAGTGTTTTACCTAAAATATTCATTCCATAATTTCATATTATCATTTACAACATTAGTAGGTTTTTTTTAAAAAAAAATAAAATCAAAGATATATGTTGCACAAGATGTCACGACTTCTAAATGAGTGCAAGATCTATGGTGCTTTTACTCTCATTAGTTATGTACAAATCAAATAAAAGTATCTAGCACCCTTATTTTCCTGATATTTCTAAAATTGCTTCCTTCTTCCACTCTCTAGTGGTATTTCTGAACTATCCACACTTGTGCTTGTCATCTTTTTCTTTTCTCATCACCATTTCTATTTTTCATATTTCTTATTATGATTTTACTCTTTTTTCTTAGTCATCGTAACTTGAGTTTGCTACTTTCATGTGCAATGACTTCTTAAAAGAGTACTCATTTCACTGAGATTTTTAAAATCTCGTGGTTTTGGACTCTGATTCTTGCTTGAGTAAGACATGACTCACACTTATTTATTAACTAACACTCTTGACTATACCTTTGCCAATGGACCTTATATGATTACAAAGATATACTGAGTATAGAATATGAAGTCAATTGTGGACGTCTGAGAGAAATGTAGGGTGGTGAATGACATTCGCTTGAGCGTACACAATCTATTTAAGAGCAAATATATCACATGACTTCATATTTATTTTCTAACTAATACTCCCAACTTTACCTTTGCTAAGAGGCTTATATTGTATAAGTTGTATACATATACAAGGGTTAATTGGTGACTATTCCCTTATCTGTGTAAGATCTCATGAAATGTTGGAGGCAACTAATAATTGTGATTACATTGCACTAGGAAGCACTTAATTGAGAGAGAAATTTATTGATTATGCGACTTAAGTATATGTGTTCTGAATTATTGATATTTTTGTTATTGTGTTTGATATGGTGATGTTTTAAAATTGATTATATTTTTAGTGATGAGGGAGAACTCATCCTTACGAATATTTTTAGGGAACTAGAATGATCAACCCACAAAAACCCATTAGGTTGTCCAAATGATTTGTAAATAGTAAACTTAATTATGTATTTAGAGAGTGACGGCAGATTTGTTATTGTAAATTTGTGGTAAATAGTATTAGTGGGTCTAGAGATGTTTTTTACCTTGGAAATGACAATAAAGTATAGCGCTCCTTTTGTTTATTCTATTAGTAGTAGAATATATCACACCTTAGCTTGTATATTTATAGAGGGATAGTCCAGACGCTAGACACAGTGAACTGCATGTACACTTTCCACTACCACGATTATATGAAAAGATTGGTCACGTGACATCGGAGGAACTGACATAGATAGAAGATTGGTTTTGGGACAACGACTAGGATTGTGTCCTCAATGTTTTGGTATATAAATTAAGTCCTAATATATTTTGACAATAGTATATAATTATTAAACTTTGGAACATAAATGAAATAAAGTTTATGTATATTCCTTTATTGTTCCAGTGTAAATTTATTTACTAAGGAACAATTGATCTTTTGTTATTTTTGAAATACCCTTTTATATATATATAAAAGAAGATCAACTATATGTTTTTTTCTATTCCAAAATGTATGTGGAAGATCAGAACAAATTGAAGATTGGATGGATTTTAGGACATATTGAATTTTCTTTTGAATAAATGAACTCTTCAACTATGTCTCAATATTTTCAAAAAAAACTTATTCTTTTAAAAAATTAATTTGATTAATTTTATTCTAGATAAAATTAATATTTCTGGTGATTGGTTTAGTAGAAAATTTAAAAGTAATTTGCTTGCTTAATTGACAAGTCAAAATTCTTTTTTTGAAAATTTGAAGGGGGAAGGAGGTTTTATAAAAGGTGTTCCCAAAATGACTTCATTTTTCAGGTTTTTTACAAGAAGAAAACTTATTTCTATCTTAAAACCTTAATTTTTAAGGCCAATTCATTTATGGTTTCTATGGCAGTATGAAAGCTGATGGTTCAAAAAGGGTTCAACTTAATTTGGATTGAATGTAATTTCAAAGATACTTAATGTTTGATTCTAAATGTTCAGGATCTTCTCACCCTTTATTTTCTCTAATTATTGAGATTAAATATTTGTCAAATCAAATTCAGTTTAATAGGTTTAATCATATTTTTAGGGAAGCCAATTAGTATACTAATAAGCTTGCTAATAAATTAGGTTAGAAGAATAGTTTCTTGTGTTTAGATTGATAAGTCTTCTTTCTTTTTGTTTTCTTTTATTTGTCATGATTTGATAAGTACTTTGTCCCCTACACTTACTTCTAGTTGAATTTTTATTTCTTGAAATTTTAACTTTTTAGTTGTGTAAATAATTTTATGTTAAAATACTAATTGTGAATTTTTTTTTTTAAAAAAAAGATTACAATAAAGTAATTATGAAAAATCACAATTGAAATTTTCATTCACTTTATAGGGTAAAATACGTTTAATAAATTAAATTCCAAACAAATTCATAAAATGTGAAATGATGACATGAATTTTTTATTAGACAACTTATTATTTAAGTATTTAACAATATTCTTGAACATGTTTTTAACATTTTAAATTACAAATGGGTAAAAAACAAAAAATAAAGTTGTCTGTTATATAGTAAGAATATTGTTACTATAAGATAAATTATATAAAATTTTGAAATCTTTAAAACAATAAATGTAACTCCTGTAAAGTGTATGTACTGGTTTTAATCACTCTATTTTTTCTGCCCCATTTTTCTTTCTTTTCCTCATCCAGCCATTAAAATTATTTTAATAAAGAATTTAATTATAAATTATTAATACATTCAAAATTTTCAATGGACAACATTTTGGAAAAGATCCATTTTCTATACTGTATACTAGACTTTTAGAAGATAAAATACAGAACACTCGTTATTAATTAAGAAGTTAACTGTTAAAATATTTAATAATTTATTTATATACATATACTATCATAATTTTAATTGTTAATTATTAAATTATTTATTATTATTATTATTGTAATAAGTAAAGAGTTTATGAAAGTAATTTTTTTTCATTAATAAAGCAGCATTTATTTTTTGTCCATGTGATGAAAGCTGCCTAGTGCCTTAAAATTGAATGGGCCGAAATGCCAGGCCCAATAATTTTGAATGTCGAAGACCAAAAAACGTAGACCCAAAAAACCCAAAAACACTGAAGATTATTTATTTCGACAACAATTTTTTCTGTAATTTAATTTTTAAAATAATTTTAAAATTTTCAAAAAATAAATTTTAAAATCATTTATAAATTATTTTAAAAAATTAATATTTAAAAATAAAAAATTATTTCTAAAAGCTAAATTCTAAAATAAAAGATAAAAAGATGTGCAAATAATAATTGTTTAAAAACACAGGTTCGGCGAAATGTATCTGTAAATCTTAAACCCTAATTTCTCGAGAAAAAAAAAAAAAAAAAACTAGGACAGCAATTGCAAACTAGCAGCGGAGGCAAATAAAAATAGAAGGGGAAATAAGCGTCTTTTTAATTCTATTGGCACTGAAACAAGCAGTGTTGAACGACGAGGTAAAACGACGGCCCCTTCTTCGTTTCTTCCTTCGATTCTGAATCTCTTCAATCTTGTAAGCTTTTTTTTTTTTTTTCTCCTTTTCTTATTATTGATTCGATGCTGATGACTAGGCATTGGGTTGGGTGATTTCGAGTTTATTGGATTTTTTATTTTAGTTTTTTTGCAATTGAAATCTTATTCTATGTCCCTGAAATATATTGTTATGTGGTTTATTGATTTGCGTGATTTTTTGGTTCATCTAAAGATTAAAACTATACTGTTGAAGTTGAATAAATAATTAAGCTACTAATTGGTTGATGTTTTGCTGATTAATGGAAATTTTGTAACATTATTTGTTGTACTCATTTGGTATCTATTGTCATGCTTATGCATATGTTATTAAGGTGTCAAATTCCCTGTTTTAACCTCACTTCAACCCACCTTCATCCTTGGTACTGCCACAAATTAGTGATTTTTGATTGACACCCACAAACAAAATCAGGGATCAGAAATCAATGTCTACGTATTGTCCTCCTTTTTGTTATCTTCCATCTTTCTTTCTTCTTCATGGATGGTATGGTTTGTCTGTGTTTGTTAATAACTACTGATAAATGTGTTTTAGATTTTAATTTTACTGTTATGCTCATAATAATTAGTTAATCCTAATTTTTTTTTGTGGTTACTGTTCCTTCTTTTTGTCTCTTCTGTCAGGCTTTTCATTAATGTTTCTTTTTTTTTCCCCCCTTCCTATGGTATAGATTGAAAAATTTAAACTTCTAATATTCCTTGGGTTCTCTAATGTTAGATTTTCACAAATTCATGAAGTTTTTTGTTGCAGTCACTTTCTTTGCTATGTTGGCTACTGGCAGCTATGCCACTGTAGTGACTTTTACGGGCGGCCACCCCGTGGCAAGTGCTGCATTGTGCAATTACATCTTTGGTCTCTAAATGGTCATTGAGAACCTCTAGTGTGACGCCTTTTTCTGATCTTTGATGTGATGAATACCTTTTCAATTTTGTAAAAAGTTGATGTAATTATTCTGTTTGCATCTTAGCTCTGAAATCAGGATAATATTTTGTAGGGTAAAGATTACGGAATTGATCATGATAATATTTTGGTGAAAAATCCTTTATTTCATTTATGTCTGAGGTAACAAATTAACAATATTCTGGTCTAAAATCTGTTCAGCTCTTTGTTTCCTCTTCTGTGTCTCAATATGCCAGTCAAAACTTAAAATTGTGTTCCCTTGTCATTTCATTAATTGTGTTTGTCAATGGTAGATTTACCTTCCAGAGTTCTGTCCTTGATGGTTAGTTTGTTTACATTTAAAATGTAATTGCTGAATGCTTTAAACTTGATAATATACAGTTTTAATTGTCAGCATATACTTTGATAAGTTACTGAGAAATAAGAGAACTCTTTCTGTCTGAGATTCTCATTTAGAATTTTGTGAAGATTATAGTTAAATTGTGTGAAAATTTGCAGTCTTTTGGATTTGTTTTCGCACACTTTCTCAGATTATGAATGCAGATTTGATTGCATCTTACTCTAAATCTCTTCATAGAATGCGTAGCACTGCAAGAAATGGTCTATACTGAACTAAAAGACTGAAAACACTAAAAAGTGTTTTGAAAATTTTCAATACACTTGTGTTTATTTTTATTACCTTTCTATTTCTTTACCTTGAGGAGAGTTTATTTTCATTTGCATAGAATCATGGCCAGTAAAGCTGAAGGTGGCAAGGAACCAATAAATGAACAAGCAGTTGCAAATATGTATGCAAACATGAGGTCTGAACTCAACCAAATTTACTCTAAAATAACTGAGCTGGAAATGGAAGTTAGTGAGCACACGTTGGTTGTTAATGCCATTCAGCCACTTGACCAATCTAGACGATGCTATCGTATGATTGGAGGCGTACTTGTGGAGAGAACAATCAAAGAAGTCTTGCCTGCTGTGCAGCGAAATAAAGAGGGACTTGAAGAGGTTGTTGCAAGGCTCAACGAGGCATTGGAAAAGAAGAAGAAGGAAATTTCTGAGTTTGAGGCTAAATATAAAATCAGGATAAGGAAAGCTGATGCTGAGGTGAAAGATGATTCTGGCAGGAAGGAAGGTTCTGCTCAAGGAGTTCTTGTGGGTCCTGCAGGTGGAAGTGAATGATTTTTCTGATTTTATTATGTTTCCTCAATGTAGTAGCAAGAAATTTTCTGCGTGGTGCAGGCAACATGATGATTTGTCTTGATAGAGATTAGACTAAAGCAAAGTATAACTTGATATGACCTCCAGTTTAATCGCTTTGGGCTGAAGAAAACTGATCTTCATTGGGTCGTGTTCGTGTAGATTTCTGTGTGCAAGAGTAGAACATATAATTGTGTGACTAAGATATTCGCTCTCATATGTAACATTGTGTTTCACCAGGATTAAAATGCAATTTTCGAAGTATCTTTCTTTAGTGTGTTTTTTGAAACAAAAATGCAGAAAAAAGTCTTGGAAGAAGATTTAAGATACTGCAGTGATGTCCTACTGAACAGTTTCCTGCGAAAAGTTGGGTCAGGTTAATGGGGGAATAAAGGGGTCCAATTTTTCCAAACCATTACGTGTTGGGTTGGATTGGGTGAATGATTTTTATTTTATTCTTTTAATGCTCAACCTGATCTTAACTAACCTATGGCTACTTTTAGGCTAAATAATTAATACAATGAAAAATAGTATAAGGTGGAAATGGAATGGAAAAATTGGGATTTGAGAAGTATGGGAAACTAAACCACAGCCTCATCCTTCTCCTTTGTGATTGTGGCAATGATGACGATGCGATATTGGTCAACTATGAGCCTCCATGGTGATGGGTGGTAGTGCGGTAGAAGCCCTTTGATGGTGGCTTGACAGTAGCTTTGAATGTGTTGAGGTAGACTCGATAATGATGGTAATACTTGATTAATCCAATAGCTAATTCCACAATTTACATGCATGAGGGAGACGAATATATCAATTCTAGACTTCTTTAAATAATTAATGTGAGGCTAGAGAGAGAAAGACACTCGTAGATTTGATGAAATTGAATAGGGATTACAAAATTATATTTAGTGGGTGTTTGAATTCATGTTAGATTATTGCATTTCTGTAGAAGTTACAGTTTGTAGCATGCGTGTTTCTTAGCTCTGGAATATGTTGTTAAACACACATTTACACATTCATAGCTTGTTAATTGAGCTCTTATTTTATATAATTTTGGAACTTTATTTTTTTGTAGATGAATATTTTTAAGATTTTGATTTTTATCAAGTTCAACACCATCACAATGTGATTTATATAGTCAATCTCACTTAATAAATTAAGACTTGATACTTGTTATTAGCTATTAATGTTAGAATTTATTTTCTAACATATAGGCATCACTTAAAAGAAGTTTTTTAAAACCCACTTTAAAGAGTTTAAATCCTTGTAAGAGAGAAAAGAAAAGTGTAGTTCCACTTTGATAGCCATTATCCATGCACAAATCCTACTCTTACAAGTTTCCATATCTCTTGCGCAAGCAATACTTTAATGCACCGTCGTCACATACTTGTGCATCCCCTTCAATAACAAAATCAACAAGCTATTTGTGAAATTATGCATCAACATTGGATTAAATTCAGCTGTCCATTATGTAATCTAATGAAATTACTTACTGTGATAATTCTAAATGGCAACATAATTGAACTATGTACTTGGGCAATATAGACACATATGCGATCTTCATGCAAGATGGTTGCAAACATATTGATGACTCTGTAGACGATAGTTGTTACAAGCACAGCCCATCAGTTTGCGCTTGCAACTTGCAAGCACTTCGATGGAACACTCAAACACAATTGGTCAGCAAATATTTGCAACATAAAGCCGTTCTTGCACTTGTGCATGAATTGGTAAGAGTACAAATTTTATATGGAGTACTTTTTAAGTATTTTAGTGTTGTTTCATTATTCATAGTTAGTACATTATTTCGGGAACTTTCATTCATAGTTTTGAGCACAATTTTATCATGTGAAAATATATAATGATAAATAAATTCACCCATTAATAATATATTAATGGTAATTGATTTCTAGCAGTTATATTTTGGTATTCTCGTCACAATATAAAGAGGTGTAGAACGTTCTAAAATAAAGCTTTCAAGATTATCTCTTCCCCTTTCCTTTCGTGATTATTGTTTCCTCCCTATTATTTTGGACATTGTTTGTGAGACTTTACCGCTCTTGCCCTTAAGTGCACGAGTCTAGTTGCGAAGCTGTGTAAATCTTGGGGAGTAAAATCAAGTGTATTGCACCGGAGGTTCATAAAAAATTTGCGTTAAGGCAGTGACATTTACCATAATATAACAATTTCTCCATCTTATTTTTCTAACAATCTAAAAGCAAAGTTTTTCTTCGACGGGTCTTATGATCAAAGAGGTTAATCAGGAGAGTAACATAATACATTCTTATTTAATATTTTTGTAAGTATTGTCGATAAGAAAGTTTGTATTTTTCATCTTGAAAGCATGTGTTAAAATGAATTTATGTATTAAATTTGTAGTAGCACATCTTTTATTAAGGTATCTAATTCATCTAATTTTTACATTATTTTTGAGTTAGTAGTAAAAGTATTTTGATGCATGATTTTGATTTGAATTGCACGTGATGTTCGGTATAAGATTGATGCAATTGAAATTTATATTCTTGTTTTAAGCACATTACCCAATATTTAATATAATGATTGCGAGGCTAAACAAATGCCTTATTGATATTGAATAAATTTGGCTAAAATTTGAATATATGATCAATTTTGAATATTTTTCTAAAATTAGAAACATATTATGATTATGTAAATGAACATTATACAGTACTTGAATTCTAGCACCATTTCTTTGAATGTGAAGTGACAAATGGAGAATTATCATAGTTGAGTTGATTTGTGCTCATATATGTGATTGCAAAAAATATTTTATATATTTGTATTTAAATTTGTCTAAAATTCTTTTTTTTTAATGATGAAAAAGGAAACTCCATTAATAAGTATATTTTTATTAGATGAAGGTTATGATGACTCAAATTAATAAATAAGTAAGTGCACCTATTGTCACAATAGTATCACTACAAAGGAATATCAAGTGTAGTATTTATAAGGATTATTAATTAAAATTTTCAATCCTTAATTATTCATTTATTAAGAATTATGAACAAAAGAATTATGATGATAATTTCACTAAGATGAAAAAAAATAACAAATAAAAAAAATAATTTCATGAATTAAAATTAAGAAGTAGCGTTAAGTAAATTCAGATATAAAAAGTGAATACTTAAATTATAAATCATCCTAAACATTTAAACAAATTACAACTTTAATCTCTTAAAAGTTGTGAAAATTCTTAAAATAACTTAACACATTTTTTAAGATAAATAACTCTTAACCTTCAGTTGATTAATCAAAATCTTTTCTTAATTAACACTCCAAAATTGCATTAATATTGATTTGTAAATTTTATAAGTAGGGTTATCTCTAAAATAGAAAACTTATGCAATTTTATCTCTAGGATTGTGAGCAATTCTTTTCAAATGAGCAATTATCAATTTATGTCACACATTTCTATTCAAAACTAAAAACATGAAAATAAGAAAGAAGATAAATTGAATTTTCAACCAACAAGCAAAACTATTCAATTGAACTCAAGAAAATAAAACTTAAAATAGTTTGAGAGAGAATTCAAGAAAAGGATTACAAATGATTCATTACATCTAGGTACTTAGAAAGTAAATTAGAAATAAAACATAAAGAAACTACAATCCAAGATAAAAAAATAAAAGTGAGAAAAGTCTCATAACATAAGGAAACTACATAAACATATTTATGAGCATGAACTTGCCTGTGTAAAGCACTCATAACAATTCATTCAACTTGAAAAGTATATATGCAGATATATAGTCGTGAATCTAGCCATGTATCTTGCTAATTTAGTAAATCTTGAGAGGAAGTTGATATTACTTCCCTTTTTATCTATTATCCTTTCAAAAACTCTCATTTCTTATTCATTCTTTCTAAAACATGAATATCAATTTGATTAATAACAAATTCCTACAATGGCTAGTTCAAAATCTCAATCATTATATATGAATTGTATTAGAGGATTAAACATAAAAAATATTTATCAATTATATATTTTCTTTTACATGTACTCACCAGTTATCAAAGTTGTTACTATGTGTGCTTTAATAATTTTGTATCAATATCGGTTATTTACCAAATGAATATTTTAAATGGAGACTTGCATGAACAAATATAAATGAACTAAAAGGCCCCATAGTGTTAGGACAAAAGGAATTCTCTATATGATTTAAGGCAACATTCTAAACAAATGGTTTGAAAAATATAACAATATTGTGGTGAATTATGATTTTATGCTAAAACATTTCAAACTCGTGTATATTGATACACTTATGTTATCATATTTTATACTTGTAACTTGTTTAAAATTTATGAATAAAACTAATATATTCTTAAGTTTCAAAAAGTTGTCTCAGGAGAAGCTAATATGACTTTGGACATTAAAATACAGAAAACTAAAAGTTGTTTTAGATATTATATTGTTTCGATGTTATACTTATTAGAAAATCTTATAATGTTAGTGTTCATCTTAAAAAATAATAATAACTTAATTATTTTTTCTCAATTTGATCATGTTAATTAAATGTGAGTATTCTAATGTATCTTAAAAATAGTATATATACTAACAACATTCATAATCCTTGTCATTAGTGTTCTTCTACTATTACTAAAGTGTCTGAAATGTATGTCTTTTTATTAACTTTAAAAGGGGTTTGTGATGCAAATTAGACTTCACTAGTAGGCGTGTGTTTACCTTAAAGGTGATCAACAAAACAGTACCGCACAGTACCACTAACCCTAGTTGTCCCGACGTCTGACCACCATTTGGCTTGTGACCTCGGCACTAGCCTCAGAAGTCTCTGATCAGTTGTCCCACCGATCCCTGTCGTCTCCCATCATTCCACGCGTCGCCCTACGCAACTCCGTTCATCTCGTCGCTGGTATTGTTTTCCTTGTCAGCAACCCTTTGTCTCTTCTGGGTGTCCTTTTTTAGGTTTAGGGTTGTTGAGCTTTATTCAGTCCCTTCTGTCTCTCACCCAATTTAGCCATGACTTCAAACCCAAAAGAGTCAACTCCTAAGTTAGCTGTTATTCCCCATCCACTCATCGTTTCTATATGTCAGCTGATGTCACCTTCTATGAAGATATACCATATTTCACCACATCAGTCTCTCCAAAATCAGTTTTTTAGGTTCTTCCCATTACTTACTATATTTTCCTTGTCACTAATCCTTCAATCTATGATGTGCCAGAGCCTTCTAATCCCTCTTCACCTGCTATTCCTCGCACCTGGCTACATATCAACGTCGAT